TGATTCATCCAGGTTTCTTTCACGGCTCCTGGCACTGCAGAAAATGTCCCACCAGACTGGAGTGTCTGGTGGGTAGTTGTGGGAAAAACTCAAGGAAACAGAAAGGATGCAGAGAGTAGGTTGTTTTTAATGAAGAAGCTGAAGCACCTGTTTCATTCTGCACATGTAGGATATCACTGGCTATAGCAGAGTATCATAATGTAAATGAAAGAAAGGTTTTGTAAGACATGATATAAAAATAGGATGATGTCATCAGTTTTAGTGATTTCACAGTTCCAGCAAATCTTCTTAGAAGATATTTGACTTGGTCAATGTATTTGAAGAAAAAATCATCTGGCCAAAATAATAGCAATTTTCTACGTAAGAATTGCTAAGGTACACTGCTGACAGCTGTTAAATACAGATGGCACTATCATAATAGCTGTGACAGCATGACAGTAAGTTATGACAGTAGCTTAGTGGTTATGACAGCACAACTAGGAAGGCAGTAATCACATTACAGGACATACAGGATGACAACAGTAGCGATTCTGCAAGAGTCTGATCTCTGATCCAGGGAAGGTTATGAAGCAGATCATCTTGAGTGCTATCACTCAGAATTAACAGGACAACCACATAATTAGGACAAGTCAGCATGGGTTTATGAAAGCCAGGTCCTGCTTGACTAACCTGATTTTCTACAAGGTGGCTTGCTTAGTGGATGAGGGAATGCTGTGGATGTTGGCTACCTAGACTGTAGTAAAGCCTTTGACACCATTCACCACAGCATTCCTCTAGAGAAATCGGCTGCTTATGGCTTGGACAGGTGTACTGTTCTCTGGGTAAAAAAATAGCTGAATAGGCAGGCTCAAAGAGCGGTGATTAATGGAGTTAAATCCATTGGCAAATGATCACAAGAGGTGTTCTCTAGGACTCGGTACTAGGGCCAGTTCTGTTTAATATCTTTATGAAAGACCTGGATGAAGGGATCAAGTGCACCCTCAGTAAATTTGCAGACAACACCAAGATGGGTGGGAGTGTTGATCTACTGGAGAGTAGGAAAGCTCTACAGAGGCATCTGTGCAGGCTGGACAGGTGGGCTGAGGCCAATTGTATGAGGTTCAACAAGAGCACTGTTAAGGATGCACCTCAAATCTTGTGTTCGGTTTTGGGCTCCTCACTGTAAGAAAGACATTGAGGTGCTGCAGCATGTCCCAGGAATACCAGTGAAGCTGGTGACGGGTATAGAGAGCAAGTCTTAGGAGGAGCTGAGGGAACTGGGGTTGTTTAGCTTGGGGAAAAGAAGATTTAGGGGGAGACCTACTTGTTCTCTACAACTACCTGAAAGCAGTTGTAATGAGGTGGGTGTTAGTCTCTTGAGTAACAACCAATTGGACAAGAAGAAATGGCATCAGGTTGCACCAGTGGAGGTTTAGATTGGGTATTAGAAAAAAAATCTACAGCAAAAGGGTTGTCAAGCACTGGAACAAGTTGCCCCAGGTTGAGTGGTTGAGTGGTTGAGTCACCATCCTTGGAGGGATTTAGAAGAGGTGTAGATGTGGGACTTAATTACACGGTTTAGGGGTGGACTTGGCAGTGCTCAGTTAACGGTTGCACTCAGTGATCTTAAAGGTCTTTTCCAAGCTAAACATTTCTACAATTCCAGTCCAAAATGAAAACATTTTCACATGCTAAAGTCCTTTCCAACCCTAGCTATTCTATGATTCTATGTCTTCTCAATATTAAAGACCCTTGTACTAAGAAGTTAGTTAATAAAAAGAGATTATTTTAGTTGCTAAAGTGCATCAATCCCCCAAAAAGCTGATGAAATCACTCCCTGAACCAATGTGCCACTGCAGAGGGCTGTTGTGATCTGTTCTTTAAGCAACTAGCATCTTCCTCAGTTAAGTCAAAAAAGACCAGCATCAAGCCCCCCATTCTGGGTACCCATAGCTCAGATTTAAAAGAGTAAGAGGAAGGTGTCCATTTCTTCATAATGCAGGTGAACAGACAATTGTACTGCAAGCCCTTTTTTTTCTCTTAGGGCCATACCCATACAGACATTAAGCAGCCCTAAGCTGCTCCAAAATGTGAGAAGGGTCATTTCCATTACATGGAGATGAAGCACACGAGGGAAAATATTGCAGTTACTCCTGTCCTGCCAGTCCTTCTGTTGGCTAAACACCCTATTTTTAAGCGTGACAGGTACCTTCTGTCCTCCCATGAAGGCTTGTGTTCTATCAGAGGATAGCAATCAAAACCTTTGTAAAGGTTTTTTAGGATGGAGGTTCAGCAGAACTGCAGGTCTAAAGCTTGGGCTGGTGAGACACTGCAGCCTGGTAAAGGTGCACCAATCTGAGATCCCAGCCTGACTGCAGTCCTTGTCTCTGAGGGGCTGTAGTTTATAACATGCAAGCAAAATGAGTCATTTGATACCTTCAGCTGCAGGTTAAAAAATTATAGTGCATGAATTTTTTTTTCTCGGGTAAGATTAAAATGTGTAAATTCTGCTGCCTCTCCCACACACACACAGTGGAATGTCAATCAGAAGATGAAAATATTGTTAAAATGGGTATTTTCACTGTGCACTGAAATTGCAGAAGAGTGATTTATGTTTTATTTCATCCTTCCCCACACACAAAAAAAAAAAACAAGTTTCCATTATTTAAAATTCCTTTTAACTTTGTACACATAAAAAGCTCACTGTCCTTGTTTCTTGCATACCGATAGAGGCATATAATTCAACACACTCTTGACGTTTTTGAATGATGAAAGGCAACTGAGGTAGATGAAATGGGTCAGAGAGGGATCACAGTTATTTTGAGCAGTTCCTCCATGGCATTTGACTGAATAAGCATGGCTACCTTTAACAGTATATCCTTCTTTGCAATATTCTACCCAGAAAAGGAATCTCAGCTTTTAGCTGGTCCCTTAATACTCTATAATTGACCCGACCAGCACTTGGGTCAAAGAACAAAAATTAGGGCAAATGCAATATGAACAAAACCCTGTAATTTGTTTGGTTCATTTTTTATTTTTTTGCATGGTAACATTCAATAAGACTCTAGCCTGTCAGACCTTCCTTGTTTTTCAGACATTTGCCATCATCTATCCTTAATTATTGCTCTGAAGTGAAAAAAGAAGCCACAGTAGGAGCTGCGTGTCAAGGAAAACATCTCCCATTTCTTGGCAATGCTGGAGCATCCAGACTTTGCTATGGACTCAGTTGCTTCTATATTTGTCAGTAAAGAGAACAGCACTTTCTCCTTGGTAACGATTGTAGTGGGTTAGTGTGGCAAGGTTTTGGTAAGCCGGGGGGGGGGGGCGTTACAGGGGTGGCTTCTGTAAGAAGCTGACAGAAGCTTCCCCCGTGTCCAACAAGGCTAATGCCAGCTGGCTCCAACATGGACCCACTGCAGGCCAAGGCCTAGCCCATCAGAGATCGTATTAGAACCTTTAGGGCAATGTATTTAAGAAAGGGAAATCAGTGCTCCACAGCTGGAAGACAGGAGTGAGGTAACTGGCCAGTCATCTCCCCTTCCTTATTTTGACCCATGAGCATTTTATTATACTCTCTCTCCCCTGCCCAGCTGAGGTGTGGGAGTGATACAGTGCCTTGGTGGGCACCTTGTGTCCAGCCGAGGTGGACAATCAACTCCTAATTTAGCCCAAACGTTTTTTTGCTTCTAAGTCCTTCCCGGAGTTTTGTGGTAGTCTGTTGATTACTAAAGTCCAGTGGCATAAAGGTCCAAATTTCTGCAGCATCAACATAGCAATATGTCTTCAGGATGCTTGAATGTTTTTTGGTTGAATAGCAAGAAAACAGTTACAAGCTGCTTATGCTCTGGATTTGGCATCCCTTGGGAAAACAAACAAACAAACAAACAAACAAACATTTTATAAATGGATAAAAGAAATATTCACCCCAATGCTGCTAACATTTCTTCTTTTCCATGTATGTTGTCTTTACAACCTAATAAGAAATACTGCTCTCAGGCCATGTTTTGTCAACACCCATTCCTTTATAAATAAGATCATCACGACAATAAAGAATTTCATGTTGCTCACATGCAACACAGGGAGAGGTCCTCATAGAGTGAAAGGGGCTTATCTTCAACAAAGGAAATAGAGACATAAACATTTTTTTTTGCTGCCAGCACTTAATCAGATAGACTTTCTAGCAACAAGTTTTGAAAGAAAAACCACTATTCTAAAAGTTTGCCAAAAAGCAAGGGCAAGCACAGCAGCTAACTCAGCTCTCCACCCATGCCTCTGCACAAAGTTTCTACTGAACTTGAACATTATTAATCATTCATGTAATTGTTAGCTTCTGCATTGTGTGTTTGTATTTTTCCTATCAATATGTGCATAAAATTACCTTATTAATGCTCATATAGATGTTTATTATGGGAAGGGAGAGACTGTTTGCACTGTATTTCTAATTCAGCTAAACCGAATTCCAGACATTTTTCAACAAGGAAAAAAAGAAAAACCAAGAAAACAGCAAAAACAAAAACTAAAAAAAAAACCTACAAGCAGTTTAATCCTCAAAATTTTAGAAATGCTTTGAGTAAACATAATGTGCAATTTTGAGCATTAGAATCACACAGCTACCTAAGGGTTGTTTGATATCTTTGCAAACCATCATTTCTTTTGGCATGGAAATCAACAAATATATTTTGTCAACATTATAAACACTTATAAACATTTAACCAATTCTATTAAGGCTGAAATAGTATGAGTAGAAGAGAACATCTCTGGGAGCTTTAAGAGTTCTATATATTCTGCTTCTTTAAAAATAATAATTACATCATATTCTGTTTACTTAGATCCCTAATACTGAAAAACATTTTGGGGTTTATATAATATTAAAATTTTAAAACACTTGAGTAGCATAAGAACCCATACACAGATTTCAAGAGTGAAATGGAGAATTTATGTCTTTTCACAATTCTTGTCTGAAACTCAAATTTATAGGTAAACTCTTTGACTACAGGCTATACACAGATACTGCTATTTACTAACTGCTAGTTGCTTTCCATCTCAATCCTGCCAACAGATTGCAGTTCACATTGTGACATGAATTCAAAAGCCGTGTTCCACTGCCTGTAATGAAAAATGTATTAAAGTTTTAATAAAAGTTAAAAGTAATAATTTATAGAATCTCATAAGAAATATTTGTATCATGTCTGAAAGAAATAATTGCACTTCTGGTTTAATGGAACAGAACATTTTCCATTTTAATTTGTTCACTAAGAAGATATTCAACAAACTTAAATTATAAAAACGTTAATTTTAAACTAAATATAAAGTTAGTGTCCCCAGTGTCTGGAGCACATTTCAAGGCTGCAATGAGGCTAACTGAGTGAACAACCTAATTCTTTCTGATATATGCAATTTTATTATGGATTAAAGAAGCAATAAATATATCTTTCACATAAAACTGTTCTTTTCAGCTAGAGAAGAAAGTAATGAAGTTCAGTTTAACACTATTGAATAAACATTTATGCCCACGTAAGAGGACAGATGATGAAAAAGAAAAAGGAAATATTCCTTTCATTATTCCCCAAAACAGACATGATGATCACTTTAAAACTTTTCTGGATTTACCTGACATGCATCTGTTGTCTGGGAAAGCACATATATTGCAAGCATCATTAGCTCTCTTCACTGATTTCATAGAGCCTATTAGCATTAAGTTATTCTGTTGCTCCTCTAGTGCTATTTTGAGAGAAAAAGTACTTGCCTTTTTTATACATTTATACTGGAGTCTTTTTAAAACAAAAGCTGTTAAGGCTGTATAGAGTACTATGCATTAACACAACATTTCTGGGCAGCATTTGGAGATAGCTTAGTAAAAGTTTTAAACCTGACCTCCTGTCTTATCCCACTTTCTCCGGCAAATATTCAAGGAGAAACACAAAACCCAAAAACACAGCAGAGGAAATGGTGTGGAGAAGACTTTGTGAGTCTGCATGCTGGGATGGCAGTAGCTGGAGGTAAGGTCCCCTGCATGGGCCAGAGCAGAGTTGGAGCTGGAGACCTTGCCCAGCTCTGCTCTGAAACCACCACAGCACTCAGCTACAGCATTACATGACTTTGATTAGTTTTCCATAACTTCAGTGCTTTCAGTATATATATAGCCCAAATGCACAATCTGGGCTCTGTCTACCATCAAAAGCATGAGATAAGGACATGAGGGGGCAAATCATGATGTCAAGCAGATGCTTTAGGCTAGCTGAGCAACACTCGCACCCTGAAAACCCACAAGGGTGAAAAGACTTGTCTTGCACTGTTGAAGCTGCCAGTAGCATTTGACGGGGCTGCTCCTTGCTCTTTCTCTCAGCTGCCAGTTCCTACCTGACATAGCCAGTGGGGTAGCCAGGTAATGTACTTGTGAACAGTGTTAACCTAATTCTGTGTAAAGTAGTGCAGCATTTATCTGCTTCTCGTAGTTGCTGTCTGGTGGGTTTATTTGCTGCTTTCCAAACGAGTGTGATTGAAAAGAGATAAGGCAATGTCTTGGTATTTTATGATTTTGAAATGGATCACTACACCACTGGCAAAAATGATAACATTCTGGCACATCTAGTAATGTCAGCCCTGTTAGATCACCATGTGTGGCTACCCTGCAGTTCTCTCATCTAACTGAAGCTTCTTGCTCTGCCAAAACCAGGATGCTGAGGGAGAATCCCCTGTGGAGCCCCTCCTATTCTACTGACATCCCAGGAGCTGTTAACCAGCTCCCATCCCGACTTCAAAATATATGTGTATAAGTAGCCCAAATTCAAATACAGACAATAAGCAAGCAGCTCTTCGCTGTGTGTTAATCACCAGTATATATTCAAGGAAGCTGGCTGGTGCCCAGCTAGTTATCTGGAAAGATGTCCTCTCTGATGCTGTATCAAAACCTGCAGACTGGAGAGTGGATCCAGGCTGAGGTGCACACCTCAGCCACACACTGACCATATGCATGGGAATGACCCAAGCAGAGATCAATCCTCTTCCCTCTTGTGCTATCCCTGCTAAACTGCTTCTGTAGCAGGAACCTGGATACCTGGATCAGAAAGGCGCTATGGATATCTCAGCAATACACCCAGGTTAGAGCACCAGGACAGCAGGGTGAGCTGAAGCATGCTGTTGCTAGACAGTCTAGATTTAATCTGGCCACCTCTAGAGTACCAGAATATGACCATTAATCTCTCAGATGTGCTGTGTCCTCAAAATACAAGTGGGTAAGGTAGCAGCTTGGGCTCTGGGAACACTAATGGTAAAGCCAACCATCTGTCCTAGCTACCTTAAAGAAAATGTGATACATTTTCCAGCCCTTCAATTCCTTAGTTCAGGAACATGTGTCTTCTTGAACAGGCTACTCTTGTTCTTGTTTCACAACCTGTTCCTGGGTAACATTTTGAGTGGGAATCTATGAATCGCACACTGCAAAAAGTTGGTCCTGCCTTGTCCTACATTTATAAACTAATATATAGTTCTCAGGGCTAATGTTCATCCTGAGGAGAAGGAGACTGCAGATTTTTAAAGATAAAATACATTTTCAAGATGCTGATTTTTTTAACTGCTGTTTCCTATCTTTTCTACCTCCTGAGGTATCCTGGAGAGCTATATATAGTTATAGCAGATGATACATTTCATCAGGAGAGGTGACAGAAATAAAAACCACACCTAGACACTTCAGTGCTGCAGAAAAATGAAATCAAGCTCATTCCATAAATTTCCCTCCTAGAAGACACCTCTATTAAAACGTAGAATTGAGGCCATGACTTACCGAGGAAAAGGCAATGAAATGTGGAAGTTATCATAAATCGAGAGACATAAAAGTCTTGGAAATACATAGTAAAAACAAAGTTCAAACCTTATTAATAACTTTATCATGGTTGATGTACATTACAAAGTCTGATTTGCAAAATGTGTAGCTCCAAACCTATTTCTATGAAGCTCTTGGAGGCTGTCCTGGTAAATAAGATTTCCAGCTATTATGCAAAATGGCCTGCACAGTAACAAATACAATTTCACAAATATTTAGTCAAACCCTAGCATAGATCTAAAGGTACCACTAGTCACATGATCATATCCTCTGGCTGGATATATGGAAGTCAACCCATATTTGAAAGTAACTACTATTATTTTGATTAATGCAGAATACATCTTCCGTTTACTATGGTAGTGAACAATACATATATAACTGGTAAGTCAATGCTTCATAAAACATACATAATGATGGAAATACTTGTTATTTTATTGAAATTCTAAGACTTTACCACAAAGGGCAAAAAACAATATTTGTACCGCTTGTGTTCAAGCAATTCTATCATCACAATTACCTCTCTCCAAGTTGCCACTAAGGCTGGTTTCATGGGAACCGTCCTTGCAAGACCCATCCTTTCCTGGCAGCAAAGCACAGGGAAAGTCCAGGAGCTAAAAAAGCCGGTGGGGGGTCCCACCAGTTTTGCTATCGTGTCTATGTGCTCCCCCACTAATAATCTCATGTAGCAACTAAACAGATTAATACCAGGCACTATTACAATTCTGACAGCTAACCTTTGTTTTTATAATTACCTTCCATTTGCTTTTTGCATTATGTCTTCCGTTACACAATCTTACACGATTTCCCTGATAAAAACATGACAAGTCATTGTTCTGAATTAGCCATTGTGCTATAAATCACAAATGTTATCATTTGTGATATTTTGACTACCTAAGCCCTCCCTAAAAAACATTTAAGACTTCTCATCTCCTGGTGACACATGCTTGTGAAATGTCAGCACTTCCAGCATTTGATCACATTGTGAGAGGGGTTGTCTTGATAAGCACTGGAACTCATCAGTCACTGAGGGTGTCAGCTAACATCTCCCAGCATCATTATTTCTATTTCATGTGAAATTCCATGGTAACAAGTCTTTAAACAGTGGCAGCAGGGAGGTGGAATGATGCATTTTGTAATTTAAAAACTATGTAAAATGGGACAAGTTGTAGAGTATTCAAGGAAATATTCTCATCTCAGTGCACTGGGCTAGAGCAGCTCTTTTGTTATCTCAGGGGAACACAGAATGCACCAGGCTGAAAATTCAGCATTTGAATAATGCAGACATGCTCAGCCGAAAGCCAAAGGGCACCAGAAAGACTTGAAAGCAGAAGACACTGACTTCATTGCTTCTGGCACTTACAGTAGCCAGCATGTGCTGCCAGCAGGGCAAAGGCACAGGTCTACAGAGACCTCAAAGAGCAAGTGTGTGGCTGGTGGGCTGGGCTGTCAGGTTCCTCGTCTCCAGACTCATCCTGCTGCACTCCACTTCTGGAGGTGTTAAAATGAGGATGGGCTGCAAAGCCAAAGTAATTTTAGCTACATCCCACTGGCCAGCTTCAAGATAGTAAAATCTGAGCCCAGCATAAACCTACCACTTCTAAATTGTGAAAGTATTTGCTGTCAGCCTTCATGTTCAACAGCTTGCCAATCAAGGTGGTCAGAATAGTCATCATTCAAATTAGTGAGGGTGGAAATGTCATCAAAAGAGTTGTGCTTCTGATAAAAATGTCAAAACAGGAAAATGGCAGTTAATAGATATTGAAAATTTCTATGAAAAAACCACAGTTTCCAGCTCTAACTGGCAGTGATTGTATGCATGCAGCATAAGTTGTTGAATCACATCCAGCTGAAATAAACAGATAAATAGAAAAAAAATCTAATTAGCCCTAAGTGTATTCTACAGATGTCCATTTAGAATAATCATAGTGATGGGGTTATTAAACGATCTCTCATGAACTCCTTGATTCAAGATATATTGAATATATTGGCAAAGATTCTAAAAATATTGGATATATTAAATATATTGGCAAAGCAAACTGAAATGCACTTTTCTGAAGTGCCGTTTTCTCTATTTATTGTGAGTATTAAAGGAAACAATGCATGTGAAATCTTCACATAAGGAAAGGAAATGTTTAATTACATGATGTTTTAGTTTGGACATGCCTTACTGAGTCATTGTTTAAAGCACCATACAACTTACTCTTCATTATTATTCATGCATTGTTATCTCTTAGGGTTTATGAATATTTCAGCAATATTCTCTGAATGCCTATTATGAACGAAGGTGATTGTGGGAGAAACATCTGTTCAGTTTTGGATGCCCTTGCTCAGAAAAGCTATAGTAAAGATTGAAAAACTCCAGAGACACACAACTAAACCAGTGATTTAAGTTGCAATTACTTGGTCTAAATGAAAACCAGAAAGTAAAATCTGATCTGTAAATGGGTAATTAGGTGACACTCCTCCTCTGAGTGGACCCTCAAAACTTAGAACAAAACCAAGGGCAAAAGCAGTGTAAAAGCATGAATTAGAAAAGGTGCAGTGTTTGTAAATAGGTCAGTGTAAGAAGAAATGGCAAATAATAGTCAGTCAAACCTGCCACTTCAGGTCCCTTTTGGTGGAGAATTACCCCCTCCCTTCCTTTTATTAAACCTATTCATGTACTAGGCAGTAGGACCAAGCAAGACTTTCTTGGAAAGGTAACCTACACAGGCTAGCAGATCTACTCTTACAGCTTTACAGTTAATCAGTAGGGATAGGAGATTCACTTTTTCCTTTTTATTTTGCTTGTCTCCAAAGTGACTATTTGTCATAATAATTAATCAGTGCCCAGAGTCCAGAAGCAAACCCTTAGTAGACAAATAGCAACTAATAGCAGCATATTCCAGGAAAACCAGGTGAATTTCACATGTTCCTTGGCTCAGTCTAGAAGGAAAATCACAGCTTTCTGCAAAGCCTGCATTGGAAAACCAGGACTCTGAAGGAATTTATCTGGCCTGAAGGCCACAAAGCAGTAAACTCAAAGCAGAATGTATCAGGAGGGAAGAGATGCAGGGCAGGAAAGAAAAGGTAGCAGCTCAGCTAAGTGGGAGAAAACTTTGGATTTCCTACTGTTCGTTCCTCAGCTGCACTGCAAGGTTTCAGGCTTTCAAGAGTTCAGTTTCTCTCACTAAAAGATATGTTGTTTTGTGGCACAATCAGTCCAGGTCTTTTCTTCTGGTTACGCTGTTTCCAAATGAGCTTAAGAAAGCAGCCTATCCTATCTAAAAAGGAATTGCATGCTGTTTCAAAGCTTGCAGAAGTGGTGTCAGGGGCATTAAACTGTGTCAGACAAAGTCAGTGAAAACTAAGAACTCTATGTGGGATGCTCGTATGAGTTTACAGAGTTTTCTCACTGACATTTTGGTTTTTAAGCATGAGAACTTATGACTGTATGTTCTGGAAAATTCACAAGGGTGGTGACTATTGGTGATATGAAAACTGTTGAAAGTTAATAGTGTTATTTAATAGCTGCTTCTGAGACAAGCAGTAGAAAGATTACAGTCAAAATTTGCTCTTAGTTTCTAAAAAAAAAGATGAGGGTCTCTGAAGTGCTAATGTTATACATTATAAAACCCTAAGCTAACTCTATAAAGAGAACTTGAAACCAGCATTAGCTTCAGTGTTCTTGTTTACCAAATCAACTACTCTCAGTGATAAGATTCTTCACCAGTTCACAGATGTGTAAATGTCCCCACAGTGCTTTTGACATTTCCAGCCAATCAAGCCTCTTCTGGAGGAATGGCATTCAGAGAAAGAGAAAAATACAGTCTTTTTGTTTGTCAGTCTTCTGGCCTTTCTGAGGTGAAAGTCAGAGCCACTTTCTAAGTGGATGGTCATGACATGGGCATCTGTCCCCCGGGAACATTGTCTCAACGACACTTTAAGGAGCACAGGGTAAGCTTTTGCTGCACTCATCGCTTCCTGGAAGGATTCTTGACCTACTTCCCAATCAACACTCCCTGCAGAGACATGTTTGAAAACAGGCTTTTCTTCCTATTTAGTCATTCCTGAAAGAGATCGTACACTGTAAGAAGCAGATCCTAAATGAATCTTCTTGTCCTTTAATAGAAAGATCCTAAAGCAATACTCTTATAATAGAAAGAATCCAAATCTTTTTTTACACTTTCCGGTCCAAAATGATCCAGGCTAGAAGGTAAACAGTCCGTGCTGAATTAGACCACTGACAAAAATAATTGCTATTCCCATATGATTCCACATGAAAGTTCCTACATGTCAGTCATGTCTTCGCTTAAAAATATAGTGACTCTTTCAAAAGGATTAATAAGACACTTGCATCATTTCCATTAAAAGATTCTGTCAGCATCTCAGTTTAGTGAAAATTATTTTTTTTCCCAGATTATTATTCTCAGTAACACTTTTGGTAATGAGAATTTTTTTATATTTTAGAATTTTTTTGGGGGGGGGGTGGGGGTAGTTAGAACATTCACCACATTAAGAGAAGGAAAAGTCTGTCTCTTGGATGAAGAAAAAGAAAATCCAGTAAAACAAAGAGAACAAGATCTTTCCTTCCTTTGAATTCCAGGCGATAGAAGCATGATGTTACTTGATTGCCACTTGCTAAGGTACAAAATTGTTAATAAACAAAAGAATCAACCTTCTGTGCTACCTTTGTGTTTCTGCCATTTCATGATCCATTCAAAAAACTTGATTCTAAAAAGTGTAACACTTAGCATATTTGTTGAAGTCTTTTGGAAAGTAGCACTAAGGTAGCAACTTCAGAGGTTCAGCACAACCTCTGGAATTTGAATACTGAGACCATGTTGGACATTGGCTAACACTAGTTTTCCAAGTGCAACTTCAGATATTGATTTTATCTAATAATGTTCCTAACAGTTTTCAGTGATTAATCTGACCCTTTGGGTCTTCTCTAGGCTGAACAGTCCCAGTTCTCCCAGCCTCTTCTCATAGGAGAGACAATCCAGCCCTTTCATCTTCTTTACTGGCACTCCATTGGGCTCCCCCTAGTAGCTCCATAATTACATGTTTCAATCAGAAACAATGCTTTCCACTCAAAACTCTAATTTGAAGGCTTTCTTCCCTGTTTTACCAGTCCTTGTTATCAAAGCAGTCATGCAATAGTTTCCTACTGATTTATACTAAAGTCCTGTTTCCTCTCTTTCCCCTCCACACCCTCCTTTTTTCTACTATTTCAGATGACCTCTTGCACCAGAACAAATTGATGAAACACGTCAGGACCTGGTAAGGGAAATTTCATTTATTTCCATACCAGATATTATTTCAAATGTCACAAAGCACCAAGAATGAGCACTCTTAACATTTACCCCAGACAAAGCTATGAAGATAAATAGTAGAAAATTGATTTGACATGCAAATTGCCTATATTTTGAAGCAGCAAAGCTATTAAGAACATGAATCAAGGTGTGGAAGACAAAAATATGGGTCAAAACATGAGACAAAAACAAAAATAACCTGGGGCTGACTTCTGCCAAAAGCCGCGGTCTGTCAGGAGGTAGGCGGCTTTCAGTCTCCTGCCAGTGATTAAACTGCTTAAATCAGGGGCATTTTCCTTTGCTGATTCAGCAGTCTTGATCCACGGAGCAAAAGTGATGCTTCAGAATATGCTGCTTTGCAGAAGCCTCCTCCTTTCCTGTACACGGAGCCAGGAAGCAGTGGGGTGCCCTGCCCTGTAGTCTTACCTCCTCTGGACAATTACCGCTGGGAAGAGGAGCGTGCAGCAGAGGTAATCTATGTTATGCACTGCCATCTACTGTGTCTCTACTCAAACTACGACATGAAGTTCAAACCCAGAAAAAAATGGAACTTCAAACAAAATTCTCACTGCATGTCACTCTCGTCTGTGCTTCAAGAAGGCACTGCATAAACGTATGAGAACAAATCCAAACAAATGTCCAAATACAAATGGCATGGATGACTACTAAATGTCCCAAGTTTTGCAACATGAAGGAGGCTGCCCCTTGTTTTTCATTTTGAGAATAAGGATCTGTATTATCACATTAATGAGTGATAGCATATATAAATAAACTAGAACAATCTTCAGTGTTATACAATGTTGGTGAGAATAACTGGATGTCTTGTTCACCTTTATTCATACGAAAATTAATGTTAAGCCCCAAGAGTGAGTCTCAGAAAACTCATCAAATACATTTGCTTATACTCCAGCTCAGAATCTCCCAGAGCTATAGCTATACTCTATTTATAGATAACCAGCAAACTGATAATCTAAGGGAGACACTGGCCTTTTGGAGTGCTAAAAGCAGACCACAGAGTGTTACATGGCAATTGCAGAGTGAGAAAATACATAGACTCAGTGCGGTGCTGGACTTTGTGAAGGACACATGAGATTTTTCCACAAAACCTTGGAGATGCTAACAGTCTTCCACACTCCTGCCAGCTTCAGCAGGACAAGCTATGGCATTAAATTCTTTTTTCTATAAAAAAGGCATAATCCAGTGCTTTCCTTTGGAAAAAGCTGTAAGATTGTTCATTTAAGACACAGCTTGTTTTCCATCCAGGTGCTGAATCCTCTCCATGTGTACCATCATGGATCTATTCCATAACATGGTTTGTAGCTGCACTTTTTTTTTTTTTAACTTCTTTGTGGTATTTTTCTCTACCTGAACATTGTAATAATACACAAAGAAGAAGAATTCTTTGTATACTGGAAAACCAGAATTTCCATACCCACACTATCCACTCTGCCTGATTCTACTACTCCTCAATCTTTTTTTTACTTTAGGGCAGCAAAGGCTAAGTGGTGAAAGCTGTTTCAGCACACGTCCAATTAGATATGAATAACCACATCTTCAGTAACATATGAAGTCAGAAAGAATGATAATTTTAAGGCTATTTTACTTACATGCTTCTTTCTAATAGTTTTTCATTATGTCTTGGCACCTCACTGCCTGTAGTCTTCTCCAGTCTAAAGTTATTTGCCATTCTTACCAACATATAGCTTAGTAGTGGTGGGGTTTTTTTCTTCAGTGCAAATCCTATATCCATATGTAGTCAATCCTATGATGTTGTCTCTTCTTTTCAGATTGTGGAACATGAAATTCTCATACTTAACCTACAGAAATATGAACTACATGAAACTGCTACCCAAAGGTGTAAAATGAGCTAGCAAGCCATACCAGAGGAGTTATATGCAGCTATTGTCAAAATGGAGCTATGTATCAAAGTCTCATAAGATAACTAGAGTCCATTGCAACACAGTATTGTCATTATTGCTCTGAGTGATGGAACAGAGTGGGCTTATCACATTTGCAGACATGGTAAAGCATTGAAAGGTAGATATAGAATTCAAAATTATCATGAAAAATCAGAGGATCAGTCCAACAGAAATATGCTATTATTCAAAGCACAATTTGCTGTACTTAGGAAAGGACAGTCAGCTGCACAGGTGCTGGATAGCAGATGACTAATCAGCAATTCTGAAAAAAGAGAGCTGGCAGTCGCTACAGATCACAAGCCGAACATGAGTCAACAACATCATGCTACTGCAAAACAGAGAAGCATCATACGGAGGCGAATAAATAGAAACGTAGTCTGCAGCACTGGCAGGATCATCTCTCCATCCTACACCGCACTGCTCAAACTTCAGTCAGAGTACTGCACTGGGTGCTGCTCTTCAAAAAACAAATGCTACATTTGTGGTAAAATTCCCAAGGAGATTGATTATTGAGATCTGGAAAACAATCTAAAAGGGAGGAAATGGGGTTCTGTTCAGCCTCTAGCAAAAAGACTGGGAAGGAACATGAGAACAGTCTGCACACTTAGAAGATTGCTGTTCAGAAGGGACAAATTTGTACCCATGTTGGAGGAAACAGGAGGTAAGGGGATAAAACTTCAATGAGAAAAATTCATATTGTACACTTTAAAATTATTCCTGACAGTAAAAAAATTGAAATGCTGGATAATTCTGGAGCCTCCATCCTTGGAGATCTTCAAAAACACATTATGCAAATCTTGGTTAGAGAGATGGCAATGGTGTAGTGGATGATGTTTTATTAGGTCGACAGGATGGATGACACAACACTTTGAAGCTCCTTTGTCCCCTTCTGTGCAGTGGAAGCCCAAGAGAGAAAAATAATTTCAAAAAGATGGTTGAGAAGTAGTTAAAGGTAGCACTGTCTTCCTGACTATCCAGTAGCAGAAAGCAGAAAATGAGAAAAAGTAAATAATCACTCCCATCACAGCCCCATTCTTTCACATGTAATGGAGGAGCAAACACTACTGGTTTTAGAAAATTTAAAGAACAGTGAGCAAAATGGAGTGGGGATTTTTTTGTTAGGGTTGTTTTCTGGATATGGGGGTTTTGTGGGGCATTTTTCTGTGGTTTTCTGTTGGGGATTTTTTGTTTGGTTGGTTTGAATTCAGGAAGAGGCAAGCTGCCTCTGATGATTGGAGTATATGATGTACAAGGAGTCGCTGAGAGAACTGCTTAAGCCCAGAGAGAAGGAAAGCTGTCAATCGATGTAACTGCAGTCTTTCTACAGCTTAAATGGAGTTGTAGAGAAGATGGAGCTGGATGATTTAGAGGTGCTCAGCAAAAGCAAAGAGCACAGGCTGCAAAAAGGGAAAGCTCTCAGTGATAGTGGTTAAGCACTGAGACAGGTGCTCAGGGAAACTGAGAAATCTCCAGCCCTGAAGATTTTCAACACTTGACCTGATGAGACAATGAGTCAGCAGGCAATCCAAGCAACTTTAAAATCCTGCAGGATGCGGGGAGGAATGGCTCCTTCTTTGAGTTTCGGGGTTGAGAATGTTTGACTTTGGGGTGTTGGGTTTTTTTGCAATAATGTTTTGCTGTTTGGTTTTTGTTTGCTAGAGAAAGCTCTGGTGGCAAGAGCAACTCCCTTGTAATACAGCAGTGCTTGCAACAGAGATTTATACCAAATTACACACAGTGAAATCTATGCAAACATTACTGCAACCACACCCCAGCCAGGGGCTTTACTGAAACTAGGCTGCAATGTTCGTGAAGTACTCCTTTATTTCTACCCCAGGTAGTAACCAAACCTAGCAGTAACAGCACCTCTGCCTTGATCTGTAGGACTCAGCACTAGAAAGAATACATCCACACCAGATTTTTCATTCCCTTCAAGCTTTTTTTTTTCTTTTCCATGGGAAAAACTTTTGCCTTATTTACTGCTGATCACAACCTTTATCTTTAAAGAAATCTGTTTCTTGTATTAGGGTATTTAACGCCATTGTGTGCGCTGCATTCCTTGTTGTTAAAAGTTTTTTCTAAGGACGAAACAGCTGGCATTCATTTATTTTATTTTTTTTTTAAGAGCATTGCAAAAATATTTTTTAGGGGCTGGGAAAAGAACATATGTGAAGAATTAACTGAACTTAAGAAAAATATCCAAAAGCCATGGTTATCCAGTCCTGGCATCATGCCAGCCTTGACACTATCTCTAACTCATTGGCTGTTTGCAGGGATATTTCTGATTTCATTTCCTTACATCCATTGCAAAATCCCTTTTTATAAGGTGTAAGGTTCTATACTACAGATCTGGGAGCTATATTAAAGGACCTTGTTATAGGACAGAACCAATAAGATAGCTAGAAAGCTGGAGTGGAAGCTAAGCATTTACAAGGAATCCAAAGGGATTCCACAGAGATTGTATTTCAGTGGTTTAATGTATTGTGTATGTTTAAAAAAAAATAATAATCTGGTAAAAAAATCCAAGAAGAGTAGGAAATACCAAATACTGTACCAGAAAGCTAAAATAAATTAAAAAAGGGGGGGGGGGATAAATTATACAGAGGGAAATTCCTCTGTATAAGCTTCCCTCATAGCTGTTACAACACCAAATACCATCTTGCAAGCACTTGTTTGTGCCCAGATTCATCTCTCTTAGCTGAGAGACCTATAGTACATAGTCACCACAGACTTGATTTCTATGAATTGAAACAGAAAGGCAACCTCACTGGGCAACTTATTTCAAGTGGGGTGAAGATGCACATTGTCCCAGATCACATACAGAAAGATCCGAGAGACACAAAGCTCCTGCTCTAATTGTTGAGTTAGATGCCTACAGGTGGTGAGAATAAATGCAGCTAACAGACCTACCTACAGTATATGGAACAGCCTTTAAAGAGGGAGGAAGTTCAGGTCTCAGTAAAGGCAGCCTCTTGGATAAGGCAAGCTCACAAACAGGTTTTAATTCAACCTGAGGGAAACAATTTCAATCTTTAAGACAGTGTAAACTAGTGACAGAGAAAACAAGACACTGGGCATTGTTACACTGCTATGCATTCAAAAGAAAGTGCACAGCAAAATATTTCTCTTTGGACTCTCACCATCCTTCTCCAGCTACCCAATTGTTTCATAGCTGAGGAAGAAAACCACCTTTTCTACAAAAAACCTCTCCTCGTATTGCTTTCGCACTCTAACTGGGTCTGCTTAAGCCTGTTAGTGAGGAATGATACCCTACAGGGCAGTTCCCAGCAATACTGGTCTTTTTCCCACACATCAGAGCCAGCTGCTCTCCTGCATCCTTACCATGCCAGGGAATGCTATTGTGTGGGGATGTGGCTCTGAACTGGGACAGAATGCAAGAACTACATCTCAAAGTTTTGTCACTGGCCTCATTTTAAACATCCCCAGCATGGACAGAGTAGCCTGGCTTTTTACCTCACAGAGGTAGAAGAGTTGCTACCAA